TTGGCATCTAGCTTGGAGTCAAGAGGAGAATTTATTGATTTTGTTGAGTAGCCACAACACTATCTCAGGTTTCATTATTTTTGGATTCTAGAAATTAATTCTTATTTGATTTTTAGCACAGAATTACAGTTAATGTTTTCATTTCTCTACATTTGGCAATATCCTTTCTCATTAACTTCGTTTTTAAATTTAATTTTTTAGATTATATCTGTATGAATGTATGTAAGGGCACATGTGCCCTGCAATGCCTGTGGTCAGAAGAGGGCATTGGATCCCCTAGAACTAGAGTTACAAACAGTTGTTAGCTGCCATGTGGGTGCTGGGAATCAAAACCAGGACCTCTGCAAGAGCAGTCAGTGCTCTTAACTGCTGAGCCATCTCTCCAGCCCCAAGAAACATTAAGCTTTTAATGCAAACTGTGTGCAGTCTTTTTCTTGAACCTTTATTAATTCAAAGTGCTTTCATCTGATTCTCTTAGCCTACCAAGTTCTATAATTAGATCATTTGAAATTATTTAAGTTAGATAATACTTTTACCCCTCATGGATGCAGCACTGCTAAGACTGCTCCAATTGCCCAAATGTGGAAATGGCCCTAGGCCTGGGTCCTGCTACCCTCTCACCAGCAGACTCTTACCCAAGCACCATTCCTAGCATACCCAAGGAGAGCAAAGACCCATACCAGTGGAAGGAGCAGGGCCGGGTGGGAATTATACCTTTATTAGTCTTTGCTTACTCAGGCGTGACACTGGTCTCTCTTTCCACTAGCTCCATTCTGTATTTGCGTGCCATCTCTCTTACTGCACAGGCAGGGAGATAAAAGTTTTAACCCTAGGCCAACAGTGAGCATTGGCTAGCTAAAGAACTGGGAGCCACAGGGAAATATTTATTCCCTGCAGTGATAGTTTAAGAAGCAACTGGTTCACAGCCAGTGTGTCTGTGAACACAGAGAGAAGATGGCTGTCCTCCATATCGTCCTGGTGTGAAACCTCTGGGAGTCCTCTCCCAGCTACAGATGGGTAACGATGTTAGGGGAAATCCCAGGACCCCAGATTTCAGCAGACTGTGTTAAGAAACTCATTGCCTGCCTCGGAGTGGTCTTAGGGGAAAATGGAGCTGGGGATTTTCAACTACGCTTGGGAGTAAACAAGACCCCTCAGTTTCTCACCCCAGATTGGAGTCTGCATCACCTTTACATGAATGGTTTTCATTTCTTAGGATGGTTTCTGGGTTCACTAAAGGAAGTCAAAAGGATGAGGCAAACAGGAGCATTCCTTGAACAGTGGCTGGGCCTGTCCATAACAAGGCTAAGGGCTGAGGCAGATGAGGGGCCCAGCATCTGCCCCATCCCATGCCTTCCATCAGCAAGCAGCATTAGTAGCACCCAAAACTGTCTGAGCTCTAACTCCTCAGGTCATGTAAACAACAAAAACATCCAAATGCCTGTAGAAAGTGAAGCCGGGTCCAGTTCTCAGAAGTCCGAGAACCATCTAATCTGGTTCAGAGACAGCAGTCTGACAGGAGGCTGCTGGCTCTCACCTGTGTCTGAGGGTGCCAGTCCTGGGAGCTCTTGTCTACTCACTTTAACGTTGTGGGCGCATCGCAGAGGGCTGTTGGGTATTCCACCAAATGGTCTCCACTGACGACCAGCAAGGTGAGCTTCTTGAGGTTGAGCAGGGCTTGAGGAAGGTAGGTCAACTTGTTTTTATACAAGAGGAAGCTCTGCAGTTCCTCCAGCCTACAGAGAAGTCCAGGATCAGAACAAAGGCTCTGCTTCACAGTGAACTACAATCGCGTTCCGGCAGGGAATGCCTGCTCTGTTTGTTCACCTGTGACGTGTACGGCAACCACGAACTTACTTTACATCTTATATAAGTAAAGCTGTGCCAGGTGATGTGATGTTTTAATATATGCATATATCTCTATATAGTTTAGTTTTTACTGACTTAACCATCCACTCAAGACATAGATTAAGCAACAATATAAATAAATTGTACAATACACACCAGGGCACAACGGGGCCTCAAAAAATCAACAAACTCCCTCCCTCAAAGTGTCTCCTGAATTTCACAGGATTAACACAGCAAGGAAGGAAACCATAGCAAAGTTAGTATAAGAATAACCCGATTTAAGCGACATTTTCTTTTGTACAGCTTATTCTTCTCGCATACTTTTTAACATTAAAGCAGGGGGGAAGCCACAGAGTAAAACGGAAATGAACAAAATGTGTTTCAAATATGTTTTATTTTGTATTTAGTTAATTCTAACTTCCCTCCAGATTTTCCTCTCATTCGCTTGCAAAATCTTGACTAACCCCACAAAAATTTCACAGAATTCTTCTCCATTTCAAACAAACTATTCCCACTAAGTCTCACTAACCCTGGAGGTACTGGTATATATCACATGGACCAGGAGGGCATTGCTGGTCTGAGAGTCATGATAGTTTACTTATGCTCCTTTGGTAAGTAGGAGTACACATTCCAGGAGGCCAGAGATTGTATTTCATTCATTAAACCCAAGTCCACTCTCCAGACCTGCCTTATGAAAGTCTAATAAGGAGCTGAAGACATGGCTCAGTGGTTAAGAGCACTAGGACCCAGATTCAGTTCCCAGCACCCACATGGTGGCTAACAATCATCTGTAAGTCCAGTTCTAGGGGATCCAACATCTTCTGGTCTTTGCAGGCATTGCATGCATGTGGTACACTTACATACATGCAGGCAAAGCACTCATATACATAAATCAAAAGAACTAAAAGCCTGGTAATATGGGTGGCATAAATCAATCAGTCAGTCAATCTTACATGTTTCAGTAAAATAATTATTTTTTGAAGCTTACATTTTAAGTTATTATGTGTGTGTGTGTGTGTGTGTATAGTGATGTGTGTGTGTGTGCATGTGTGCATGTTCTCATCTGTCACATGCATATGAGGTCAGGGGTCAACACTGAGTGTCATCCACTGTTGCTCTGCTCCTGCTCCTTAAAAAAAAAATTTTTTTTTTTGGCCTTTTTGAGACAGGGTCTCCCTGTAGCCCCAGCTGTCCTAGAACTCACTATGTAGACCAGGCTGGCCTTGAACTCAGAGAGATCCACCTGCCTCTGCCTCCCGAGTGCTGGGATTAAAGGCATGCGCCACCATGCCCGGCTTCTTTTAAAAAATTTATTTTTAGTTATGTGTACTCGTATGTGTCTGTGTGTGGGTACGTCCATGTGAGTACAGGTACCCAAGGAGGCCAGAGGCATCAGATCCCCGTGGACCTGGAGCTACAGGTGGCTGTGAGCTCCTGACATAACATGGGTGCTGGGAACTGAACTTGGGTCTCTGAAAGAGCTGTATGTGCTCCTAACCACTGAGCCATCTACCAGCTCTTCCACTTTAACTTTAAAAACATTTTATGTATTTATTTATTCTTATTTTATGTGTATGAGCATTTTGTCTGCATGTATATAAGTGTACCTGTGTATGCAATGACAGCGGAGGCTAGAAGAGGGTGTCAGATCCCCTAGGATTGGAGTTATAGATGGTTGTTAGCCACCATATGGGTGCTAGGAATTGAACCTGGGTCTTCTGCAAGAGCAGCCAGTGCTCTTAACTGCTGATCCAACTCTCCAGTCCCCACCTTATCTTTTGAGTTAGGGTCTCTTACTGAACCTGGTGCTTATCAATTGGCTAGACTGGGTGGTTTTTACATGGATGCTGGGGCGCCAACTCAGGTCCTCATGCTTACACAGTAGACACCCCCTGAACCATTTCTCTAGCCCACAGTAATTATTCTTAAACATAAAATAGCTACAAGGAGCTGGGCATGGTGGCACATGTCTTTAATCCCAATACTCGGGAGGCAAAGGCAGGTAGATCTTTGTGAGTTCAAAGCTAGCCTGGTCTACATATCAAGTTCCAGGCCAGTTGGGGCTACAGGGAGACACTGTCTCAAAAAGACCAAAAAAAAAAAGGATATAATTTGAAAGCATAGCTAAACATGCCAATTCTGTTTAAAGATTATGTATAAGTCAATTTAAAAATTAACGAAAATTTTCCCAGTTGATGTTCTAAACAGAGTAGTTTTTATTCTATACTAAATAAATTTTATTTTCCACTTACGTAGAGTAAAATTAACAATGTCATTCCATGAAAGACTAAAGCCCAGTCAAGTGGCTCATATCTGTAATCTCAGCACTCAGAAAACAGAGTCAAGAGGCTTGTGGGTTATGAGCCAGCCTGAGCGACATAGCAAGCCCCTATCTCAAAAATCAGAAAAACAAAAATCTCTTCTAAGCTGGCTGTGGTGGTGTATGCATTGAGGCTAAACTGTCTCAAAATGAAAGAGAAAGAGACAGAGAAAGACAAAGAAAGAGAGATGGGTGGGGAGGAAGGATGGGAGAGGTAGCTCAGCAGGTAAGGATGCCTGCCACCAAGCCTGACAATCAGAGTTTGATCCCAGGGACCTACATGACAGAAGGAGAGAACCAACTTCCTTGCATTATCCTCTGACCTCTGTGCACTCTTCCACACACAAAATAAATAAATCTTGAAAAGCTTTTTTTTTTAAAGCATAGTATAATCGCTCACATCTTTAATCCCAGCACTCGGGAGGCAGAGGCAGGAGGATCTCTGTGAGTTCAAGGCCAGCCTGATCTATATAGTGAATTCCAGGTCAGCCGGAGTTACATAGTGAGACCCTGTCTCAAAAAACAAAAACAACAAAAAATAGCCTGAAACAAATTAAAGTTCATGAAGACAATGACTGCAAATGTTCAGCAGGTCCAAATGCATGCATCCATCTATATGTGTGATGCACACTGGAAATTGTCTTATTCTATAATTTCTTAGGAAAATAACTCCGGAAAATAAGTTGATTTCAAAGAATATTCATGTGCTAGCATATTTAAAATGTTAACAGTCTTAAGGTGTTAGTAACTCCTTCATATACCTCACCTTCAGAATGCATGTAGCTACCTGTCTATATCTTGTGGCAGGTCATTGAGATTATTGCTGCTGATATCCAACCACTGCAAGTTACACATCCGCAGGACACAGATCGGGACACTGGAAAACTTGTTTGCTGAGATATCTACAAATGTAACTTGCTTCAAATTACTCAACTAGAAAGGAAGAAGAGAATATTCTAATTACCCCTGCATGATGGTTAGTCTCTGTTATTAACTTAATAGGATTTAACATTACCAAGGAAATGAGTCTTTCGGCACATCTGTGAGATTAAATTAACTATGGTGGGAAGACTCATCTTAAATATAAGTGGCACTATTCCTTGGGCTGAGGTCCTAGACTGTAGAAAAAGGAAAAACAATGGGGCTGGAGAGATGGCTCAGCAGTTAAGAGCACTGGCTGCTCTTGCAGAAGACCTAGGTTCTGTTCTCAGCACCCAGACGGCGGCTAACAACCGTCTGTAACTCCAGTCCCAGAGTATCTGATGCCCTCTTCTGGCCTCCACAGGTATTGCATGACATGGGTGCCTTTATATACATTTGCAGGGGACCTGGGTTCGTTTCCCAGCACTCACATGGAGGCTACGAATCATCCTTAACTTCAGTTCCAGGGGACTCCAAAGCCCTCTTCTGACCTCTGCAGCATTGCACAACATGGGTGCACTCACATACATGCAATCAATACACTCATACACATAAAATTGAAAAACAAAGTGTAAAAATAATAAATAGAGTATTTTAAAAGGAAAACAAGCTGAGCATCAGCATTCATCTCTCTCTGCTTCTTGACTGTGGATGTGATGTGAGCAGCTGCCTCACTCTTGCTGTCATGACTTCCCCACTATGATGGACAGCACCCCAGAACTGTGAGCTGAGACCCTTAAGTTACTTCTGTCAGGTATTTTGCTGCAGCAAGACAGGTAAGTAACACACCTGGTAAGCACGGGAAATTAAGTTCAACTAATAGTTTTTAGACTAATCCTTCTTCCTCAAAGGCGTCTGTGAATATATGCAAAGCAGATCAATCCAGTGTGTATTTTTGGAGCATCTACTGCTGTGGATCCCTCACTGTACTTCATGTTGGGGATGCTAAAATAAATAGCACACTACAGCTGCCTTCAAAGACTGTCCATCTTCATAAATAAGCAATGCAACTTTATGAAGCAAACACCATGGCAAGTTTCCAACTTGTAATATTTGGTGACATAGAAAAATAAAAGGTTAATTTGCCCAGCAGTATGATGGGGTAAGGGTCAGGGGCCAGAAAAGATTTCATGGAGAACAAAGTATGTCCTGAGGCTTCTTGGGAGGTGGGAGGGTAGGAAGGAACCGCATGTGCAAAGTCACAGGAAACAGAAGGTACAAGTCTCAAAGAGCACAGAGGCATGGGAAGGACTGTGTTAACAGACGTTAACAAACATTAAGGAAACCCATGTTTGGATGGGTCAAGTGACAGGAAAATGATCAGGATCTCCACTGAATGCACCTGATCCTTGATCTTGTCAGACCTCCAAAATTAAGCAGGGGTGGGCTCTACTGTTGAGTTTTATATCCACAATAATTGTCTGTAATGGGCCAACTGAAATACACTGGGATTGGGGACTGGGAGATACACACACACACACACACACACACACACACACACGCACACATCTTGTTTTCTTTTTTTAGACAGGGTCTCAATATGTAGCCCTGGCTGGCCTGAAACTCACTATGTAGACAAGGCTGGCCCTCAAACTTATAGCGATCTGCCTGCTTCTGCCTCCAGAGTGCAGGCATGTGCCACCATGCCTGGCAGGAGGTATATTTTTATTTCAACACAAATCTATGAATTTGGAATGAAGTTGAACAAGTGTTTCATGTTTGGATGTTTGGATTTGTGTTACTGTGAATCATAAGAGAAGCTATTTTCTTACCAACTTATTTAAGAATCCACGAATAAAATCAGAGCTACCTCTCACAGCACATTTTTGGGCCACCAAGATGGCTCAGTGAATACGGGTACTTGCCGCCAAGGCTGATGACCTGAATTCAAACCCCAGGATACACATGGCAGAAAGAGAACTGACTCCTGAAAATTATCTTCTGACCTCCACATATAACCTCAGACAGATACACACTGACACACACATACACACACACACACACAAGAAATGTAATTTTAAAAGTTTAAAGCATATTTTTCAAAAGTATTAGAAATAGTAAGATGGACCAATAGGTAGTAGAGGCAACAGGGAAAAAGAAGCAGGGGCTTGTGCTTTTTGAGCTTACTACAAATCCTATTTCTGTGTTGTCAAACTTGCTTTAGTGAGACAAAGGGTCGCATTTATCCTACTGAATAGTCACATTCTAATTTTGCTCTTGTCTGGAATTCTGAAAAATGAATGTGAAGACAGTGATGTGATGATGAACCATCAGAGAGATGCGCTGGGTGCCCATAAGCCAGTTGAAGACTTCTGAATGGGTTGCCAGTAGTGTCAAATCAGTAGGAAAAAAAAAAATCACAAGTGACAGGGGAGAGGGTTCTAAATCTGATCAAAATAGATTCACAAAATTTCAATTAAAAAATCACAAGTGAGTCACCATTCATCCCTCTTCTTTTTTTTCTTTTCACAATAATGCAGCAAATGCATTTTTAGGCTGTAAAATAACCTATTAAAAGAAAATAACAGTTTTATGTGCCTGTGTGTATGCACATGCACGCAGAGGCCAGAAGAAAGCATCGGATCCCCTGCAGCTGGAGTTATATGTGGTTGTGAGCCAACCAATGTCAGTGCTGGGACTCAAACTCCAGTCCTCTGCAAGTAAGCCATTAAATGCTCGGCCATCTCCCCAGCCCCAAGTCTCATGTGACCTAGAATAAAGTAGATCACAGAGGCATTAAACTAGCAAGGAAAGAGATTCCTTGACTGTGAAGAGGAACTTCCCTGATACTTATTTTCATCAATGGCAAAGCAAACCATTCATAAAATATGCTGGAAAATGTATTTGTCTGAAAATCTCAGCATTCTACAGCTCAAAATATATCCCTCAGGCTTTCAGTCAGAATAAACAGAGCTCTCATCCACACAAACAACATACATTCAGTGAGGGAGTTTCATTACTTCTCCCATTGTCTCAGAATTCTTGTTGGTTTGAGGCTTAGCTCTCTACAGCTTCCCATTCTACTTTCTGTTTTCATTTACTACAACTTCAGAACTTTATCCATTAGTTTTGTAAGAAACTTTCCTCATGGAAACAGGACGATTTTAACAAACACGGAGATGCCTAACAGAGAAGGGAGAGCTGGGCTGGGCCAGTCTGACTACCCCAGAGGACTCAAAATGAACAGAGGCACTGGAGTTGGGAAGAAGTAAGGTTAAGAGCCCCAAATATAATGCTAGATGGAAAGGTTAAATTAGAAGTGCTAAGTGGCAAGGAGTCAAGGCAGATGTGGAAGAAGGAGGAAAATTTGATAAAATCACTCAACTCTCACCAGCAAAGCTTCCTCATACAACAAAGTGGGATGCACACAGAAGGCCACAACTGGCCAAGTTTTAGAGAATAAGAGACTGCAGAGGGTGTCTCCCTGGATAGGACTCCTGTATTAAACCTCACTCATCCATGGCTCAGGGACCATTGTGGAAGAAGGGGTGGAAAGATTGTAAGAGCCAGGGTCGGTCCTGGAACATAGGGAAGCAGAGGCTTTCAGGCCACTGCAAGCTTGCTCATGAGAATTTGTGGCACTAGGACGTCGTGCACAAGACCCATGCCAGCTCAATCAGACAAGAGCCCAGCATGGAGCAACGGAAATGGGTGGTCGGCTGGCCCTAGCCTGGGAACTGTTGGCAACTCATTACTACTGGGTAAAAGAAAGTAGATCTTCCTTAAGATCTCTAGATAGGCTGACTAGACTCCAGTGGATAAACTTGCACCTAAGGACATCTGGATACAAATGGTTGACCAGATAGAACTTAACATGTATGACAGAATGCATGGGGTCCAGTGGGGAGGGTTGGGGGGATGAGGGGGCTTGGGGGAGCATGAGGGAGTCTAAATTTGATTAAAAACTGTATATGAAATGCACAAAAAGTCAAAAATATTTTTTAAAATATTGTTTGAGCTGGGCGTGGTGGTGCATGCCTTTAATCCCAGCACTTGGGAGGCAGAGGCAGGCGGATCTCTGTGAGTTCAAGGCCAGCCTGGTCTACATAGTGAGTTCCAGGACAGCTGGGGCTACAGGGAGACCCTGTCTCAAAAAGACCAAAAATAAATATATATTGTTTGAACGTTTTTCTTTCCCAGTGCTAGATCCAACTCAGGGCCTTGCACATGCTGGGCAAGCACTCTTGAATTTCTTAAATCCATCTATGATCATCCATCCACTGACACATTCAACAAATATTTAGTAAGTACCCACTGCATGTCACTTTCTGAGCACTGTTCAGACCACAAGGGATACAAGAATAAATAAAAGCCTGTAAGCACTGGGAGTGATGGTACAAGCCTTTCTTTAATCCCAGAACCTGGAAGGCAGAGGCAAGTAGATCTCTGTGAGATCAAGGCCAGCCTGGTCTACATAGAGAGTCTATCCAGCTGGAGCTATAGGGTCTGTCTCAAAAAGAACAACAAAAAATAAATAAAATAAAAAGAAGATCCTAACTTATTTATGTACTATGATGAAGTTATAAATAAAGGAAGTAAATTTTTTTCATATGCTCATAACTGCCTGAAGTGGCCCTGCGCATAGGATTTAAGAGATGCACTTAAATTGATAGAGTATCAATTACTTTCTTTCTCTATCATGAAGAAAATGATTTTAAATAATTTTCTGATAATGTAGAACAGATTAAAGTAAATAGTTTTTTATCATCAAAAAAAACTCAGGGAACATCTTGTGCCAGATGGAGAAAAAAGGCCCACACTGCTGGTAAAAAATGCTGGATCTGGCAAAGTTCTCACAAGGCTCTGGCTAGCAATTACCGTTTCACAGGAAGGTTCTTTTCCTTCCCTTCGCACTGCTGGATGGGAGGCAGCAGCTGCTTCCACTGTTTACACGTCTCACCCTGAACGTGCTTGACAATGGTTCTGGTCAGGTGCAACCAGAGGCTGCCATATCCTACTCAGAGCTGTTCTCCAAATTGCCCCAGTCCACTGGGATGTTCAGATTGGAGCTGAGTTAGGTCATCCTCATCTGTCTTGATCCCACCACCACCCCATTTGAGAATATTCTGTATCTGACCCCTGCTCATTATTCTCCCTTCACACCCTAGTCTAAGCAAGAGCTGTAGGTCATTTGCACTTGGCCAGGAGCCTCATCAGCTGATCTACAGGTTCTTCTATATCCCCAGTCTTTACTGGGGTAGAATTTACATGCCATCAGATCCACCGATCATAAATATACAGTTTTCCATAATTTAGTTTGGGGATGCTTCTGTGATCTATGCCCCAATTTTCTTTTCCCACTGCTGTTATTCTCTGTTCTCACTCATTACCAGTCACATAGGAATCTACTTTATGTCTCTATAACTTTATCTTTCTGAAAATTTCATGTTAACAAAATCATACAACAGTCTTTTAACTCTGGCTTCTTTCATCTAGGGCATTTAAAATTCTTCATTTATGTCATAATGTATATGGAATTAGGCAAGGGTTCTAATTTTCCCAGGACTTTTTCTTCAAATGATTGTCCTTTGCCCATTGAGTTTGCTTGGTAACTTTGTTGAAAAATCAGTTTAGCATAAATATAATATAGGGATTTAGCTTTAAAATCTTAATTTTGTTCCATTGTTCTATCTTTATGTTAATTCTATCCTGACTTGATTCTTGTGACTTTATAATAAGCTTTGAAATTGTGCAGTATATGCCCTCTAGCTTCATCCTTTTTCAGAATTATTTGGCAGTTCTTTACAGTTCCATATAAAGCCTAAATCAACCTGACAACTTTTTTAAAAAGAGAGAGACAGTCAGGTGTGGTGGCACACTCCTTTAACCCCAGCACTCAGGAGGCAGAGGCAGAGGTGGATCTCTGTGAGAGAGAGGCCAACCTGGTCTACATAGTGAGTTCCAGGACAGCTGGGGCTACAGGAAGACCCTCTCTAAAAGGACAAAACTAACTAAATAAATAAAATAAAGAGGGTAGGTTACGCACTTCCAATAGACTAGTGCATAAAAGGGAATATGGAGGCGTAGCAAAAAAGGAAGGCTGCAAAGCAAGGCCAGATCCTAAATCCACACAGAACGTCCTGTACCCTTGTGCCGTCATCCGCCACTGAGCGATGTTATAACGTAAGCTCCAACAAGCTTGGGCATCCCACACCACCAGCCGTGCTCTTTGTAGCTGACATGTCCTAACTCTGAGGCTTCTTCTAAGCACTTCTAGCTTCTTTCGGGAGATATCCACCCCACATTTCTGGAATATAGAACATACTGGGGTCTCCATTTCAACTTACATTTTACTCTTACAGACCTGGTCTACATAGTGAGTTCCAGGACAGCTGGGGCTACAGGAAGACCCTCTCTTAAAAAAGAAAAAGAAAATGGCTTGGATGTTAATAAAGATTTCCTATAATATAGACCATTCCGTGTCATAAATTAAAGAAAAGTAAGTCACGGGGCAAAAATGTCTATTTCTTACTTCAAAGGGGAGTTCCATCAATTCCAGATTGCCAGAGCAGTCCAGTCTCTCTAGATTCTCACAGTCCCCCAGTTCTGGGGGAATACTCTTCAGATGGTTGAAACTCACATTGAGTTCTTTCAGGTTCTTCAAACGACCTGGCAACAGAAAACATTAACCTCCACTGAGTAGGTCTTTCACAGTCTTAAAAACAGAAACAAATCTAAAGGTAAAACATTCATAGACATGATAGGGAAGCCTGGGGTGGTATGAGTGTTTGTATTTCGAGAACTTGGACTGTAGAAGAGTTGCAGTTCTAGGCTAGCCAGGGCTACATGAAAAGACCCTGTCTCAAAATACAATTCAAAGAGAGAAATGGGGAGAGTAGGGAGGCAAGGTGGGGCAGGCATAAAACATAGTTTTATCTTGGTATTTGAAGCATTCCTTATTAAATGTCTGCTCATCTAAAGCATTTCACTGTTGGTGCTGTTGTTTCATGGGTTTTTTGGTTTGTTTTGCTCCTTCTGTTATGTTCAATCCCTGTGAAACTGTGGTTGAGGTGTGTGCTGGGGACGTGTCTTCTGTGTAGTCGATACATTCAGTGTACAAACCCTGTGGAGCTGGAGGACAAGCTGTGTGAAGAGCAGTGAGGCTCCGAGGGATGGCAGAGGCCAGCTGCTGCCTGCTGGGGGCCTCTAACAGGATGTGAGCTAGACAGAGAAATATGCACAAAGGTCCGTGTGCGTGATAAAGGATGGAAGCGAGCAGACTGTGCACAGATTGTGAGCAATGTCCCACTCCTCTTTGGCTTCATATTGACATTCGTTTAATTGATGTGCCGTGCTTCCTAAAGAATATGGTATAAGTCTGGGGCTAGAAAGATGGCTCAGCTGTTAAGAGCACTGACTGCTCTTGCAGAGGACCCAGGCTCGATTCCCAGCACCCACATGGCCACTATGAACCGTCCTTAACTCCAGTTCCAGGGGACTCCAAAGCTCTCTTCTGACCTCTGTGGCACTGCACGACATGGGTGCACTCACATACATGCAGGCAATGCACTCATACACATAAAATTAAAATAATAAATAAAATATTTTTTAAAAAGAATATGGTATAAGTCACACACTCAGAGAGGGTATGAACATATTCAGAACAGGAAATTATTAGACTGAATGGAAAATACTGTACTCCAAATCTGATTCTTGAATATACAACTAGTTCCAACCTAGAAATTAGCACATAAAACCCCAGAAATCACATCATGTGTGTTCTCAAAACTTGAATACTCTCTTGAGTATTTTTAAGCTAATTTTAAATTAGAAAACTAAGATGACCATCTACTTTTGCAAAATAGGCATTCAATCTACAAATTTCTTGCCATTTTATAGATGAGACAGTAAAGGGTAGAGAGACAGAATGCTGGAAGGAGGCTATGGTGGAAGAATGAGACAGGCTCGTTATGTAGCCCAGGCTGGCCTCAAATTCTCAGCAGTCCTCCTGCCTTAGTCTTCTGATGGCTGGTGTTCCAGGGCTGTACCACCAATGCCCAGTTTATCAAGGCCATTTCTAAGTTTCATTGATTCTTACGGTGTGTTAGAAGAAGAGGAATAAAATAAAATGAAGAAAGACTGTTTCTTCAGAGGACTGGGAAGCACATCGTCAGGCCCGTGATTTCCACTGCATCAGCTTCTACAGGTCTGTGTACTGCAGAGTCATTCTTTAAATAGAAAAGTAAAAGCCTGGTGTAGATAGAGTGACTCTTCCATGTGGTCTAGCACACACACACAGTAAATGACTGTTAAAGAGTGATGTGGCTTAGTTGATGGAGGCATTTGTTCCAACGAATTAGGACACATCTGTGCCAATTACATGAACGAATACAATGAAAAGATGAAGTAACTGAAGAGAGCCAGGGCACAGAGACCTGTGATCCCAGCACTCAGGAGGCTGAGGCAGGAAGATAACACGTTTGAGATGCCAGCCTGAGCTACACAATGAGGGCCTGTCTCAAAAAAGGAAATGTAATTGAAAAGAAAGTCTTATACAAGTCACCTCTTTTTGATTTGTTTATTTTTATGTGTATGAGTATTTTGCCTGCATATATGTAAGTGCACCTGTGTCATGCAATGCTTATGCTAGGAACCAAATCCAGGGTCTTCTGTAAGAGCAGCCAGTGCTCTTAAGCACTGAACCATCTCTCCAGCCCCTTTAAGCAATCTTTTTTTGTTTGTGTGTTTTTTGAGAGAGTCTCCCTGTAGCCCGAGCTGGTCTGGAACTCACTATGTAGACCAGGATGGACTCGAACTCACAGAGATCCACCTCCCTCCGCCTCCCAAGTGCTGAGATTAAAGGCGTGCGCTACCACACCCCGCCTTAAGCTACTTCTTAAAGATTATCAAAGGATTGTTCATTGCTTTAGTAACTCTATATCTATCATAACATTTTATTATTGCTTTTGATTTTGTGTTTGTGGGGGTTTTATTTTAACTAATTAATTTTTTAAAAATATTTTATCATTTTTATTTTATGTGTATGAGTGTACCTGCCTGCATGTATGTGAGTGCACCTGTGCTGTACAATGCCATAGAGGTCAGAAGAGGGCATCCAATTCCTCTGGAACTGGAGTTAAGGACGATTCGTAGCTGCCATGCAGGCTCTGGGTATTGAACCTGGGTCCTCTGCAAGAGCAGTCAGTGCTCTTAACTGCTAAGCCATCTCTCCAGCCCCTATTTAATTTTATTTTTGTGTGTAAGTATATTGCCTGCATGTATGTAAGTGCACTGGTGCTGTGCAATGCCCAATGACAACAGAAGATGGTGTTGGATCCCCTGGAATTGGAGTTACAGACAGTTGTTAGTCACCATGTGGGTGCTGGGATTCAAACCCAGGTCTGCAGGAGCAGCCAGTGCTCTTAATTGCTGAGCCATCTCTCCAGCCACTTATTTTTTAATTTGAAAATTATATATATATATATGTGTGTGTGTGTGTGTCTGTGTGTGTCTGTGTGTGTGTGTCTGTGTGAATATCTGCACATGAGTGCAGGTGCCCAAGGAAGCCAAAGGAACTGAGTTCCCCTGAAGCTGATATTACAGGCAGTTATGAACCACTGCACATGGGTACTGGGAATGGATCCCCTGGAAGAGCAACAAGCACTCTTAACCTCAGAGTCATCTCGCCAGCCTCTTGAGTTTGTGTTTTGAGACAGATGTGTTCCACCACATTCACCTGCATGTTTGTGTTTCTAAAAGTGAATGAAATTTTTAAAAAGGGTTCTTAGAGCATTACCCACTCATGAGACTTCCAGTTTCTAAGCAATTGTCAAATGTCTGTCAATGCTGTGCCATGCAGGTGAGACCATGGCACTTCCATGGTCATTGTGAACAAGCAGTTCTGGGAACTCTGGAAAGAGCCTGGTGCAGTTGAAAGAGGAAACGGTGTTTGCACAATGTCACCTACTTACCACAGACAACAGGCTCAAAGATTCCTGTTGAGGAACTTACCAATTTCAGCTGGAAGATACGAGATTTGGTTTTTTTGCAAATCCAGAATTCTCATGGCTTGAAACAGCTCGATGTACGTGGGAATGGTCTGAATCAGGGTGCCGTATATGTGCCATTCTTTGAGGTGTGTCTGCTCCCTCAATGAGTCAGGGAGCTCCTGAAACAGCCAACAGCATCAGTTACAGCCAGTGCCTTGGTGTGCACACAACAGCCATGACAGCTCAAGAATTTATCCAAAATATAAAAAGCAAGGCAGTGTGTGTGCGAGAGCATTAACTCCATCACTCCAACCATTTCTACAGAAGCCAGTGAAATGGTTACCACTAATTTTGTTAGCAGATAAGCCCTATTTCAGATCCATGACATTCAAATTCTAACCACCCTGGTGGTGCAAGCTTATGATTCCAACCATTTGGAAGGTTGAGGCAGGAGTATCACAAATTCTAGGCCTGCCAGAGTGTTCTAGTTTACTTCACTATCGCTGAGATAAAACACTGACCAAAACCAACTTTCGGAGGAAAGGGTTTATTTCAGCTTACAACTCCCAGATCAGAATCCATCACCAAGGGAAGTCAGAGCAGAAACCCACAGCAGGGATCTGGAGGCAGGAACTGAAGCACGGACCATGGAGGAATGAATACTGCTTTACTGGATTGCTCCCCCTGGCTTTCTCAGCTACCTTTCTTATACACTCTAGACCCACCTGCCCAGGGATGGCACCGTCCCCAGTGGGCTGGGTGCTCCTACGTGGACAAGCAATCAAGAATGTTCCCCAGCTGGGCGTGGTGGTGCATGCTTTTAATCCCAGCACTCAGGAGGCAGAATCAGACTGATGATCTCTGTGAGGCTGAGGCCAGTCTGGTCTATGTAGCAAGTTCTAGGCCAGCGGGGCTATAGGGAGACCTTGTCTTAAACCCCCACCACCAAAAAAAGAAAAGAAAATGCCCCACAGACAGGCCCACAGGCCAATCTGATAGAGGCCATTCCTCAATGGAAGTTCCCTCTTCCTCGGTGTGTCATGTTGATAGCTAAAGCTAGTCAGGACACTAGACTACCCACTAGCAGTTTATACCAGAGCCTCAGATCGTGGGAGAGCCAGGAACACTGGAAGTGAGGGCTGAAGGCAGGGCTTCAAGGAGAAGGCCAGGTTCAAAGTCTAAGGACCAGAACTCTGACTTCCACCATGGCACAGAGCAACTGCCTAAGCCAGTGGGGGTTAAACAAAGCCCCTGAGTTGAGGTCCCTCAGGAACAGTTGGGACAGAGGCCATGGCAGACAGATGACGCATGATCATTGCTGAGCGCACCAGCTTCCTGTGGCAACTGCAATGGTCAACTTAAAGGAGGAAGGTTTATTTCGGCTCACCCTTGTGGAAGTTTTAATCTACAGTGGCTTGACCCTGTTGCTTTGGGCCTATAGTGAGGCCCATCATGAGGAGTGTGTCAAGATGCAAATTTTCTCACCTTGTGGAAGCCAGGAAGCAAAGGGAGAGAAGGACACACAAGCTATCTGGGGTGACATTAGAGGCCAGAATGCCCCCACTGCCTAAGATAGAAAAATACAGTAACAGGGTGTTTTGTCACTTAACTCAAAGTAAGGTGAAAAACCAAATCTCTCTGGGGACGAAAATGAACTAAAATTCACATTAAGTATGCCAAAGACCCCAAAGTCTTCCTGGAGAGGGTCCCAGTCAGAACAGGAAACAACTTGGGGAACAGATTCTGCAATAAAGCCCAGTGCTACGGACAGCCTGATGAAGACAGCCACAGAGTCCACAGCAGAAGAATCCATCAGGCTATCATCTACCCCATTTACCATACTAAGTGCTCATTAAATACTTTATAATGATCTTGAGAAAGTAGTCTGCCAGCCACGAGGACTATGTAGGTTCTCCAGTGGTCACAGTTAGTGTGTGACCAGAATCATATCTGCCAAAAGATATGGTCAAAAGATCAGACATGGGACTAGGCTCAATGAGTAAGAGTGCTTGCTGTGAAAACAAGAGGACCTGAGTTCAAATCCCCACATGTGCCTATAACTCCAGCATTGAGGAAGACCCCAGAAGCCTACTGGTCAGCTAGCCTAGTCAAAACAGTAAGCTTCAGGTTCAGTAAGAGATCTTGTATCAAAATAAAAAGTGGGATGGCTCAGTAGGTAGAAGAACTTGCTGCTAAGTCTGATGACCAGAGTTCAATCCTTGGGACCCATGGAGTGGACAGAGAGAACCAATTCCCAAAAGTTGTCTCTGAACTCTACACGTGTGCTATACTGTGTGTGCAAACACACATGTGGTAGAAAGAACCCACTCCCACAATTTGGCCTCTGATTTCCATGCGAGTGTCCCTCTCCACAGACACAAAAATACATAATTAATTAATGTAAATTTTAAAATAAAATAAAAAATTTAAACTGACAGAAGAGCTCAAGGTCAGCCTGGACTACAAAAGACCCTATCTCAATCCACATCACAAGGACAGGAGGACCCAGTTCACAGCAGAGGATGGGCCCTTTCACACCCACTGGAAAGCCCTCTACAGAGCAGAGCAATCATTTGGCCAGCCAAGGCCCCAAGCTCAGAACAACCGACCTCAGCTGCAGCACAACCCTGAGCGTCCATGTGCTACAGCTAGACGGATACCTCAACTCACCTTCCAGTGCTCCCCTGAAAGTTCAAACACGAATGGATTGCTCCGTTTGTCTCTGTCCTTGGCGCACGTACTCTGCCTCGTGAGGGAGTTCCTCTCAATCTTTTCCAGAAGCCTTGTGCTTGTGTCTACAAAGCCATTCTTGCAGTACTGGGCCTGGGGAACACCTCTCCTCCTGCACTCAGCCACGAAGTCCCATTCTTCTTTTATCCTAAGACAGGCAGAAGGGGCTCAGGCACTTTCTTGGGGACTGGCTACCACCAGCCTGACAAGCAGGTCAAGCCTCCTGTGTACAGGCTGAGGGTAAAGGCACTTACTGTCAAGCTGGCGACCTTAATTCAATCCCCAGAACACACATGATAGGAAGAGAGGACGGACTCCTCACCAAGTTGTCGTCTGACCTCTGCATATATTTATATACACTGAATACATAAATGTAAAGAAAAATATTGATAATAGTTAGATGATAAATGATTGATAGATGATTGATTGATAGCTAGGTAGATAGATACATACATAGATAGATGATAGATAGATAGATGATAGATAGATAGATGATAGATAGATAGATGATAGATAGATAGATAGATAGATAGATAGATAGATAGATAGATGATAGATAGATAGATAGATGACAGATAGATGATAGGTTTACGCCCAGTTTTTTTGTTGCCAATTTAAAGCATACAAATACACCACCATTTGCCAACTGGGTATGGGGACAGGGACCTCCTTTGAGATGACTCAGCCAATCAGAACCCCATTTTGCTTGTACTATGTCCACAACCAACAATTCAAGAGTTCTGGTTTTGGTTTCTTCACAGAGAATAAAAATCCTAGGCATGTACAAAGCCTCCTAAGCACACCACCTTCTTGGCTTACCATCCTTCCAGTGTATTGAATGGTGCTTATGTGACTGTGTGGTTCACATTTACCATAAGTGTAGTTTTTCTGAAGCACTACCTCAATTTAGTTTTTTAAATATTTTTATTCATGTATATGTGTCTGTGTGTGTACATGCCACATGTGTGCAGGTGCCCACAGAGGCCAGAAGAGGGCATCAGATCTCCTGGAGTTACACTCAGTTGTGAGCTGCCAGATCTGGTTGCTAGGAACCAAACTTGGGTCCTCTGGAAGAACAGCAAACACTCTTAACCACTGAGCCGTCTCTCCATCCCCCTCAACTGAATTTTTATATTGAACTCTTTTACTCATATTTTGTGAGTTTCTCTGAATTGTGTCATTTCAATCCAAGCAGAGGAATCAAAATGAATCTCACCCAGAATTCGGCTCAGCAGGCAAAGCTGAAACGCATAATGGAAAGTGACAGAGTGGGTGTGGAACGCATCAGATGATCTGCTGAGTGAGCTGGGTGAAGATCAGCTAAGTGGCCTCTACAGCATTTAGTGGAGAGGAATATACTGCATCATCTCTGTCCTTCCCGTGCCTAGCACAGGGTCTGGGTCACATGTAGTTCCTTAGACCTTTGGGTGCTACTGTTAAAGGAATGGAGTATTCACACCAGGCAGTTGTATGCAAGTTATGAAGTCTGAAGAGAAAGTGCCCCTGATAGAAAGAAATACCAGCAGAAATGCAGCCTCCTCCACAGCACAGTGGCCTGCCTGAACCCCCATCTCCAAACATCCTGGAAGAAGAAGCAGCAGAACACATACTTCTCCAAGGCGCTTTTCTCCAGCCTCTCCGCCTCTTTCTTCTGCCATGCTTTGTGCTTCTTGACACGAGTTTCCCACAAGGCTCTGATGACAGAAATGTCAAACACGACCACTTTATGTCCCATTTGGGGACCATAAAATTACCTGCTTAAAAAAATAATATGTATATCAGCTTCACACACACACATAAAAAAACAGTTTTTTGTTTCTTAAGATTTTTGTTGGTTGGTTGGTGGGTGGGTCTTTTTGAAACAGGGTCTCCCTGTAGCCCCAGCTGGCCTTGAACTCACAGAGATCCACCTGCCTCTGCCTCCCAAGTGCTGGGACTATAGGCGTGCGACACCATGCCTGGCCTGGTTGTTTTTTGAGACGTGGTCTTCCTGTAGCCCCAGCTGGCCTGGAACTTGAAATGGAGACCACCAGACTTGCCTCCATCTCACAGAGATCTGCCTGCCTCTGCCTCTCGAATTCTGGGATTAAAGGTGTGCATCACCACACTTGGCCTGTTTTTATTTTTAATTACCTGTATATCATATGATTAATTTTCTATTTAATCAAAAATGATCCTATAAAGACCCCTTTCAGATGACAGAAATGTTTCCCAAACGTATCTAAGTGTTCTTTCCTTTCGTTTTGTAAGTTTTATAATTATTGTGTGTGTATGTCTGCATCTGTGTGTGTATATGGCATGTGTGTATGTGTGTGAATGTGGGTGCATGCATGCCACTGTGCTCATGTGGAAGTTAGAAGAAGTAACATGTATGCACCCACACACATACACAAAATAAATAAACAAAATGTAATAAAATGCTAAGCCTGTACTACATTAGTGTGTATTCCCTGACCCGCAATGAATTGTTTGGTTTTTGGGTTTGTTTCTTTGTTTTTGAGTTTTAATCCCGCTAGGAAGTTATATTCTATTATTATTCTACTTGAGAGAGAATGTCTGTGTGTGCTCTGAGCTTTAGTCACTGAACTTGTCCTGTGGTATATTACAATTCACTTGGAAGATGAACTGCATACACTAGCAAGTTCAATAGGGTGTGGAACACAATGCTTGGAAAATGTCCAGGGGGCTTCAGGAACCAAGAAGAGTCTAGCTGAGGGGGAGGTAAGTGAGATGTCCTAAGGAAGATGACCCCAGAGAGAGTGCTGAATTATGTGAAGAATGTGACCAGACAGACCTTAAAAACGTTAGCACACTGCCATCCTGGAAGTAGTGTGGCAGCCATCATCACTGAAGCCAGGGATTCATTCATATATTACTCCAAAGTCCATGTTAAAGGCGCACGACTTTAATCCCAGCACTTGGGAGGCAGAGGCAGGTGGATCTCTGTAAATTCAAGGCCAGCCTGATCTATATAGCCAGTTCCGGGACAGCCGGGGCTACAGGGAGACCCTGTCTCAAAGACCAAAACAACCCTAAAAAGATGTTTTCTGGAGAGATGGCTCAGCAGTTAAGAGCACTTGCTATTCCTCCAGAGGGCCAGAGCTCAATTCCCAGCACCCATGTTGGACAGCTCACCAACAGTTGTAACTCCAGTTCCAGGGGATCTGATGCCCTCTTCTGGCCTCTGAAGGTACCCACACACATGTGGCGTACACACACACACACACACACACACACACACACAGATAAAAATTAAATAAAATCTTTAAAAATGTTTATGGATGTAAAATATTTGGCTTAGGCCAAGCATGGAGGTACATGCCTTTAATCCCAGTACTCAGGGAGGCAGAGGCAGGTGGATCTCTGTGAGTTCAAGGCCAGCCTGGTCTACATAATGAGCTCCAGTCCAGCTGGGGCTACAGGGAGACCCTGTCTTAAAAAAAAACAAAAACAAAAACAAACAGAAAAGAAGAAAAAAGAAAAGAAAGAAAAGAGAAGTCAAGCCAGGATACTCACCCCGGAGGAGGTCAATCATCATGTCATTCAGACACTCAAGTAGCCTAATGGAAAAGCCCTCTAGGGAGCGGACTGAGGTCTCTGGCCAACAGCCACATGAGTGGCCTGCCTGTCAGCAGGACTTCCAGTCAGACTGAGAGTTCAGAAGACTATGTTCCCTACTCACCATGCTGACTGCAACTTCACAATAGACCCTGGGTCTGAGCCACTCAGCTAAGCCACCTCATATTTCTGAACCCCATAACATGTGAGATAATAAATATTTGTTGTTTGAAGATAATAAATATTTGTTGTTATTCAGCAATAAATAAGATGGTAGATGAAAAATAAAAGAAACGAGGCTCAAGAATTGGCTTAACTGTTAAGAGCACTAACTGTTCTTGCAGAGGACCCAGGTTTGAATCTCAGCACCCACATGGTGGCTAACAACCATCTACAACTCCAGTTCCAGGATATCCGACACCCTCTTCTAACCTCCACTGGTATTGCATGACACAGGTGCATTTACATGCATGCAGGCAATACATTCATACACATAAAATAAAAATAAATAAATCTGGGCTGGAGAGATGGCTCAGCGGTTAAAGAGCACTGGTTGCTTTTGTGGAGGACCCAGGTTCAATTCCCAGCACCCACATGGCGGCTAAGACCATCCATAGCTCCAGTTTCAGGGGATCTAATGCCTTCTTCTGACCTCCTTTGGCATTGCAGGACACGGGTGCACTTACACACATGCAGGCAATACTCTCACACACATAAAATAAAAAAAATAAAAGTAATAAATAATTAAAAAATAAATAAATCCAAATAATAATAATAATAATAATAATAAACCACAAATCAAAGATACAAAAACAACCAGTCCAGCTCACAGTGACATCTCGTGTCTATATCCAGCGGTCTCCTTTACACATTTCTCAAAGATAAGTGATACCTCCAAACCTGTCTGATTAAACTCTATCCATCTTCAGAGCTATCTCAATTCCCCACCTCAGGAATGGCTCCACCATTGCTCAGAAGTCACTCCTTCCTGCTTCCTTCTTCCTCGCTGTGCCCACCCACCGTCTACGTGCACATTACCCCCTTCCCACCTTCACTACACACACAGTTATCACTCTGTCCATGCTGTTCCCTTGGCCCAGATCACTTGTAACCAACCACTCGAGCGGCTTTTTCCACATGCTTCCTGACTTAGCATCACTGTTCTTCCCTCAGTCTAACCTTCCCACCCTCCTCATCCCCAGTGGATCCTCCTGATATTTTCTGTCTCGGTCTATTGTTCATTAGCTTCACAATACCTAATGCAAGATAAATTATTTGCTTTTTTAAAAAATATATTCAATTTTAATATATTGAATTTAATATATTGTGCCACAGGAGCACCATGGTTTACCAGCAACCCTTTGTGAGTTCCCAAACTTGGGCTCATTGCTGGACCTCTGTCAACACTAACCAGGTCATGAAGCAGCAGGTGGGAAGTGGGGAGGGGGCTATGTATCACCTCATCCATGACCCCACAAAGAAAGGAGTGCCTCAACCACAGAAGAGGCTCCAAGTCCAGCAACAGCGGTGGGTGCCAAGCTCATGTTTTGACCTCAGTACTGAGCTTTGTGAACTAAGCCAGTTATTGCTGGTTGTGTATTGGTATCTTCCATCCCTGAGAACCCTAAATAACTAAAGTGTGTAAGCACTCAGTCAAAGCAGAAAGATGAATGAGGCTCCTTCTACACCTCCAAGTCCCCAGGCCAGAGGGGAGAACATCTGTATAAAGGGATGCATTTCAGTGCAGCATGTGGATTAGACAGCTGAGGCTGAACCAATTGCTGTGGGATCCTCAAGTGGGGGGAGCCCTGCAGAGAGGTGGGGAGGGCTGGCAAGCTCCAGAGGGGGGGGAAAGAGGGCAGTGACAAAGGGCACAGCCATCAGTGCACGTTTAGCAGATGAACCTTCCATGCTCTTCTTTCCCACACAGTTATATCAGAATCACTTCACAGAAGCATTGGTTCCCCTGAGTCAGAGGGTGTGACTGGAAAAATGTGTCCCCTGGCACCAGAGCTCTGGTGTCCACTCAGAAGTCATATGCCAGGGCAAAGGAGGGGAATATTCAGGTCACTTAGTCCTTTCCTGTCCTGTCAAATGACAGAATGGGCCTGGGAGGAGGGCTAGGGGACTGGAGGTGTAGAGAGGGTACCAAGCTAACACCTCAGAGCCTCGAGGGAAGGATCTGGAGGAGTTGGGAGAGACCCAACAAAGTCCACCAAACATGCCAAAGCATTTTCTGGCACTCTCTTTGAGAGGCACAGAGAGATACAAGAGCAAAATAAGGAGGGGGAATGGAGGGGAGGGAGGGAGGAAGGGAAGGAGGAGAGAGAGAGAGAGAGAGAGAGAGAGAGAGAGAGAGAGAGAAAGCTGGGTTATAGAGAGAGAGAGGCCTGGCTCCCTGTAACAATCCTGGCAGGAATGAAGATATTCCAAAGAGACACTTGTGCCTCTCACCTTTGGCTACCAGACTACTGAAACAATGGACACCCCCCCCACCCCATTGGAATCTCCCCAAGAATCTCATGTTGGGAGAAGGAAGTCTGAAGCCTGATGACAGCCAGAAGAGGAAGTTTATCAGAGATTTCACACAGTTCTGACAACTGGTCGGATCACCTTGCAGGAGAGATTGGAGTCCAGATAATGATGACAGGACCACACCTTGACCAGGACTGCTTAGCTATGCATACCTCTTGCCTTCTCTTTAAACATGAACCTCATGTCAGGATCCTGAAGATGGGCTAGGGGTGGGGTGGGGCGGTGTTTCTGGACCTTTGTTCCTATTCCCAGTATGGTCACTGTCCTTTTTTCTGTTACTGTGATAAAACACTGATCAAAATCAACTGGAAAAGAGGGTTTATTTCACCTTACACTTCCAGGTCACAGTCCTTCCCTGAAAGATGTTAGGGCGGGAACTCAAGGCAGGAACCTGGAGGCAGGAACTAATGCAGAGACAAGGAGGAGCAGCCCTGGCCTGTGCTTGGCCTCCTTTCTTATATAACCTACCTGGGACCACCATCCCAGGGGTGGTATCACCCACAATGGACTGGGCCCTCGCACATCACTCAACAATTAAGAAAATGTCTCACAGACATGGCTGCAGGCCATACTAATGCAGGAAATGCCTCAATGAGGTTCCCTCTTCACAAATGTGTCAAGTTGACAGTTGAAGCTATCCAGCACAGCCACACTGAATAAATCTTCTCACTGTTTACTATTGTCTGTTTAATAGGTCTGTGGAGGATGGTGGCTGAATCCAGCTTGTTAAGGCTGCCAGGGCCCAGGTCTTATCCTTCACAACTCTGATAACATCCCAACCTGTCCTCCTGCCCTAGCACCTGGGAAACCCAGCTCCAAGCCTTCCACAGCCTTCTTCTAGGTATCTTTTGTGTGAAGACCTCTGTCATCAACCTGGCTGGCTCCCAGAGAATGATGGTGACCAAAAGGAACTGCTCAAGACACCAAGATGCAATAGGGGGCAATAACAGCAGCTAAAGAGCTTCTGAGTTTCACAAGTTCTATTCTGTCCCCACATAACTCACATTTAGAAGGAAGAGTGAGTGCTCCAATAGAATAGTGTGGTAAGCAAGGGTTAAAGTTTAAAGTCAGAATCGCCATCACAACTTCTCAGCCGAATTCTAAATTGAATTACATTTTGTGCCACATAATCAGATTTCCCTTGGGACAGTTGATTCTTCTGATTCTTTGTTAAGCTAGAAAATCAAGTCAGAGGAGACAGAGGGCACAGAAAGGATGCCAAGAACAGGGGCTGAGTCAGACGACCAGGGCTGGAAAACTGCCTCCTGGTTTACTGGTCACATGTCCCTGAAAACAGGGCCTCTGGGTTCTCCTATGGACACAATGCCACAGCAGTACGCTGCTGTCCTGCTTGGTGAGAGAATGTGTTGTGATCATTGGGTCAAGTGCTACTTAAAATGGGACCTGTCAGAAAGGCTGGGGGATGGGGAGTCAATTATTTAAGGAAAAGAAATTAAGACAGACCGTTGGTCATCAATTAAATGTAAGATCAAAACAAGAGGTTGGAGCTGGGGCTGGGGCTCAGTGGGTAGAGTGCTTGCCTGGGATGCAGGGTCCTTAGGGTCCTTCCCCAGCACCACATAAACCCAACATATTGACACACACCTGTATTCCAGTAAATGGGGGGGGGGGGCGGTAGTGAAGGCAGGGAGACCAGGAGACCGGTTATCTGAGATACATTGCAAGTTCAAGGCCGCCCTGGGGTGCCTGGGACCTTGTCCATGAGCACTCTGAGCTTTTCTCCACCTGACATAAACTAGCTCTGTGGTACAATGACTGGAGGACTCTCCTAGCCCTGGAAGTTACTGTCCAGACAAGGAGCCAGCTGTTTACGGGAGCCCAGGACAATTCTTTTGGGTCCCCACTCTTGCCCCACCGACACCAGGGGGCGCACGACATTATCTGAGACGAAGGCCCTCCTTCTCTCTCTCCCACCCGCTCCTTGTCAGATGTCAAGCATTCTTCCCAAGGACCAGAAGAGGACACAAACAAAGTTGATTTATCGCCCCCTGGACAGCACTTTGGAGCACCACGCTCTAAGCGCACCATTGGGCACCAGGGTGGTCCTCTGGTAACCAGGAGGATTCGTGGTCACCCTGTCCCAGCCTCTGCCCAGCCGCAGGCACCCGCGAGCCCCACGTGCCGCCTAGTTCCCCACTCAGCTGCGGTTCTTGACTATTTAAATGCAGATGGGTGCCTGGTCCTCCCGGTGGGCTAGATGTGGCTGGCTGGACCTCACCCTGCAGCAGGCGAAGCCGCGAACCGCCCGAGCGCACGCCGCAGTTCTTACGCGCCTATGCCCAAGCAGGCTTCCCGCAGTCCCTGCCGCGCAGGGCCACAGTTCCAACCTGCTAGGTCGCATCCCTCCACCGTGGACCAAGCCCACCCGCCACTCACCCTCCGGGTGCAGGTGGGAGCTGGCAGTCCCTGGCCCCAGCCGCCGGGCTGTAATTCGCTTTCGATGCTGTTTACACCCGCAAAGCAACACCCCCGGCGGAAGGGCCACCGTGCCTGTGCGCTAACAGGCTATATTTGTAAGCGGATAATATGATCTGGAGGACATGTGCTGATAAACTATCTATCTATTCTATGTGACTCAGCCCAGCAGGAGACAAAACAGATCTGGTCGGGGAGGGCTTGGCACCGGACACAGCCAGTCTATTGAGCCCTGTAGGCAGGATCCCCTGCACGCCTCCACAGAGGATTGGCTCTTACCAGCTAGGAAAGCCTAGGGTGAGCAGAGAAAAAAAACATGGTTAACGATTCCGAGGTCTGCGTACTCCCGGTTAGAAACCAAACAAGAAGCAGGATTAGAAAGCCTTAGGCCTTAACAATTTTTACACCTTGAGGCATCGAAGATTTTAACTATATCCTTAAACCAGTGAGTTTAGATTCTCTTTAGAGGGGGTTAGTTAGTCTTGCTGATAATGGACATTGGAAAGATACCCAAAACACTGCAAAGACTCCTCTTACACCTTTGTTTGAAATCTGAAACCACCTTCAGCTGGGAGTCCTGGTCCCCGCCCCTAATTGTAACACTTGGGAGGCAGAGACACAGAGGTCAGGAGTTCAAGGTCCTCCTCAGCTACACATCTACTTCAAGGTCAGCCCAAGCCACTTAACACCCTGTCCCCAACTCCCACACATACACACCCCAATAAAATAAAATAAAAAATAAAATAATAAAATAAAATGATAAAATAAAATGCAAGGTAGGCCTCACATGTAATCCCACCACTCAGGAGGTAGATACAGGAGGATTAGAAGTTTAGGTTTATCCTCAGATACCTATGGAGTTTTTTAAAAAATATTTTATTATTTTTATTTTTTGTGTATGAGTGTATTGCCTGCATGCGTGTAAGTGCAACTGTGTTGTGCAATGCCTGCAGAGGTCAGAAGAGGGGTTGGATCCCCTGGAACTCCAGTTAGGATGGTTCTTAACCAACATGTGGATGCTGGGAATGGAACCCCCTGTCCTCTGCAAGAGCACTCTGTGCTCTTCACTGTGAGCCAACTCTCCAGCCCCTACTTATGGAGTTTAAGCTAAGCCTGGACTACATGAGATCTCGTCTCAAAAAACATGTTTTTAATATAAAAAAAAAAAAACTGAAAAACACTTTTCTGCCATGTACACATATGATACTTCTATTGCAAAGTTGCTTTATTTTCAGGGATTGTTTTCTATATAAAACATTTTGTAGTTGTTGATATTTATAATTTTTGACATTTATTATTGATATTTATAACTGGATTATTTTAAATTATATGATAAATTGTTACAGGTGCTCTGATAAATCTCTGATATATTAAATCTTACCTCTAAAGTGTTAAATGTGCTTTTTTATTAGGATAATTCAAACTGGTTTTCTCCTTTGATAAATAAGGTAAATTCGGCTGGGTATGGTGGTACATGGCTGTAATCTCAGTATTTGGGAGGTAGAGGCAGAAGGATCAGGAGTTCAGGGTCATACTTGGCTACACATGGAGTTGAAGGCCAACCTGAACTATGTGAGACTCTGCCTAAAAGAGAAAAATAGGATGCTTACCTAATTTGAATTTCAGATAAATGATAAACAATTTTTTAAAATATTTTATTTTTATTTTATGTGTATGAGTGTATTGCCTGCATGTAGGTAGGCACATCCTGGTCATGCAATGACTGCAGAGGTCAGAAGAGGGCATTGGATCCCCAGGAACTGGAGTTACAGACAGCTGTTAGCTGCCCTGTAAGTGCTGGGGATTGAACCCAGGTTCTCTGCAAGAGTAGCCAGTGCTCTTAACTGCTGAGCCATCTCTCAGCCTCATGTCTACAAAAAAAGACATCGGATCCCCTGGAACTGGAGTTACGGATGGGTGTTAGCCTCCATGTGGATGCTGGGAATGAACCCTGGGTCCTCTGTAAGAGAAGTCAGTGTTCTTAACTATGAGCCATCTCTTCGGCCCCAAATATCCTAGATTTTATCTGCCAACCCTACACATAAGCTACCAGGATCTTACTAAACTGCAGAGCGTGATGTAGAGACCCAGAGACAGGCTCAGGGTCTATATCTTTAATAAGCCTTAGGTGATGTCAACACTGCTGGCATGGTAAGGAACAAGGGTCAGAAATTAACACAATCTGGTACAGTGTAGACAGGACCAGCTCCTAGCTGGCATGACCTGGCCAAGTACATCTGCTTCAGGAGGTGTTGACTCAGTCAATGTTTTCACTGACTCAGCCAGGAAGTTAACTCTAATGGGACTTTTAAAATACAAAAAGTGGGCTTGAGAGGTGGTTCAGCAGTTAAAAGCAATTGCTGTTCTTCCAGAGGACCTGAGTTCAGTTCTTAGCACCCATATAAGGCAGCTCACAATCTTTTTTTTGGTCTTTTTGAGACAGGGTCTCACTGTAGCCCCACCTGTCCTGGAACTCACTACGTAGACCAGGCTAGCCTTGAACTCACAGAGATCCGCCTGCCTCTGCCTCCCGAGTGCTGGGATTAAAGACATGTGCCACCACACCCTGTACAATCCTCTTCTTTTATTTTGTTTTGTTGTTGTTGTCCTTAGAGTTTCCTGTAGCCCCAGCTGACCTGGAACTTACTATATAGATCAGGCTGGCCTTGATCTTACAGAGATTCACCTGCCTCTGCCTCTGGAATGCTGGAATTAAAAGCATGTGCCATCACACCCAGCAGCTCATAATCTTTAACTCCAGGCCCCAGGGGCTCTAATACTCTCTTTTGGCCTCTGTGGGCACTCCCCCCGCCACACACACACATACAGACACACAGACACACGCATATACTCATGTAAGGAATTGTTATTATTGCACTAAACTTACTGTGTACAGATTGCTGTATCTCAGGGCTGGGCATATCCAAAAAGGTTTTCTAAATTGAGTGTGATGGTACATACCTAGCTGTACCTGTGATCCTAGTTCTCAGGAGGTAAAGGCAGGAAAAGTAGGAGTTCAGAGTCATCCTAAATACACAGAGAGTTCAAGGCCAGCCTGGGCTACACAAGACCCTGTTGTGAAAACAAAGCAGTTCTGAGTTTCCCAGGTATACCAGGTTGGCCTGGGCCCTGTGGTCCTCAAGTCCTCAAAGTGTTGTCATAGCTGCAAGCAGCCCAGCACACATACACATACACATTATGACTGGCCCTAGCTGGAATCCAAGAGAACAACACCTTTTTAGAAATTCATCTCCAGCCTCTCCTGAAACACAGCCCACAGACCAAACTTCTGCTTCTCGATGGGGGGTACAACTATATTTGCCTCCATTCCAAAGGATTCCACCCACAAGCACATCCAGATTTCCCTCCGATGGGCCAATGCTTCCTACACACTGTCTGAGACTACAGCTCTTATTGGAACATGAGTCACATGCACAGCAAAACTTTCTTCCAGGAATATCCCTGACATCACTCCCTGATCTCTCTCCCTTCATGACATAGATACAGAAGAATGAAACACCCAAAATGTTATGAACATTACATTCCCTTTCAGTGACCATTGTCAAACGCCTCACTCTGATGTGGGAGCAAGTGGCATGGGTTCCTGGCTTGCTGCTTCTCATCTGCAGGGTGAAAACCTGGAGCAGAACATTGAGGAAGTCTTATCTGCCCTCACATGTCTTCAGCCATACTCCTGAGTAGTGGAGCTACAGCGTCCAAGCCAGCAGCCACAGCCACTGAGCACAAGAGATGCAGCATTGTGATGGCTCCTCCTCATTGTCAACTTGACTGGGTTTATTTTTGTTAATTTTATTTATTATTTTTATTTTATGTGTATGAGTATTATTGCCTGCATATGTGTAAGTGCACCTGTGTCAGGTAATGGACGTAGCCTTTATTATTTGTTAAAATAATTTTTTTCTGTCTTTTCGAGACAGGGTCTCCCTGTAGCCCCAGCTGTCCTGGAACTCACTATGTAGACCAGGCTGGCCTTGAACTCACAGAAATCCGCCTGCCTCTGCCTCCCAAGTGCTGGGACTACAGGTGTGCGCCACCACGCCTGGCCAAAATAATTTTTAGAAAGGGTCTCACTATGAAGCCTGGCTGCCTTTGAACTCATAGAGATCTGCCTGCCTCTGCCTCCCAAGTACTGTGTTTAAAAACGTGTACCATCAAGCTTGGTCTTAATTGTAAATGTTTATGAATATATTATATATTTCTATTTAAATTTTTTAAAAATATTTTATTTATTATTTTTTATGTGTATGAGTGTATTGTCTGCATGTATGTAAGTGCATCCATGTTTGTGCAACGCTCTCAAAGGTCAGAAGAGAGTGTCAGATACCCTGGAACTGGAGTTACTAATGGTTGTTAACTACCATGTGGGTGCTGGGAATTGAACCCAGGTCCTCTGCAAGAGTAGCCAGTGCTCTTAACTGGTGAGCCATCTCTCCAGCTCTAAAAAAAATTATTTATTTATTATTTTTATTTTTATGGACATAAGTGCTTTGCCTGCATGTATCTAAGTGTACCCATGTCTTGCAATGCCCTTGAAGATCAAAAGAAGGTGTCAGATCTCCTGGATCCTGACCCTAGGTCTTCTGGAAAAGCAGTCAATGCTCTTAAGAGCTGAGTTATCTCTCTAACCCCCAGATTTCTTTTTTTTAATTTTAATTTTTTTTTTTTTTTAACGTGTATGAGTGTATTGCCTGCATGTAGGAAGCGGCCTGCATGTGTCATGTAATGCCTGAAGAGGTCAGAAGAGGGTGTCGGATCCCCTGGTATTAGAGTTACAGACAGTTGTTAGCCTGTTAGCTTCTGAGTCATCTCTCCAGCCCCAGCCCCTAAATGTCAATTTTTTAAAAAAAATTTAGAGGGCAGGGAAGATGGCTTGCTCAGTAGGTAAATGCTTGCCATGCAAGCATGAGGATTTGAGTTTGAGCCTAACCATGACATAGAAGCCAAGAGTGGTATTTCTTTTCTTCCTTCTTTTTATTTTTTTGGTCTTTTTTGAGCTAGAGTTTCCCTGTAGCCCCAGCTGC